GATTTTGTTACGTTTTCGACTGGATGCTAGGAATGCTCTAGGCTTTGGCTAACCTATTTTATTCCATTGTTGTACTCATGCCTACTCGCCGGTGGAACGCACCTGGCCGGGACAGCGCTCCTTCCGTCGTGGGCCGCAGTACGTACCGCGCCCTACCGCTTCGACGCGTCAGCAACCTACAGCGCTCTGAAAGTACTTGAATGTACCCTAGACCATGGCGCCCACGACAACTACACCGAGCAGTTTTCCATGGCTTGCGCGGAGGGACATACATGGGCAACGCCCTCGCTGGCTGACGCGACTTAGCGAACACCATGGGCAGCGCCCTTCTCCCCCAGGAAACGCATAACAAAGACACCGGCTGCCTCTCACCCGACGACTTGGGTGACGGGGGCTCTTGTCGGCTCCTGCATTTTGCTCAAGGGGTGCTCCAGGAAACCCTACCCTCCCCACATCCAGGGCAACGTCCTTCCTCCTACCGTGGAACCACCCGCTTCCACACCCTTACGTCCCCCCGGCCTACCGCACTGCAGACATTCCGCCACGCGCGCGTGCCGCCCGCATGTACATGGCTACGGTCTCTTCCCTCGCTGGCGCGAGAACCTCGCCACCACCTGCCCGAGCTTCCGTTTGCGCTGCTCCGTCCTAGAACCAACACGCCACATGGCGCGGACACGGGCGCCTGACAGGCATGCGAAAATCTTACCAGAGCCTTTCACGTTACCACGGGCACTGGCCGGACCTCGTCCAGCGCAAAATCTAAACAAAGCCTAGAGCATTCGTAGGAAAATTCCAGGGCATTGGCCGGGAACACTAGAATCAAATAGGTTAACAATAGGTTAATCAATTTTTGGGCAAATCTGGGAACCTAAATACAAGAGGAAGTGCTAGAAAATTCTTGGAAAAGCATCCAGCGGAAAACCTAACAAAAGCATGATTACAACAATGGAAGAAAATAGGTTCACAATTTTCTACGCAGACCTGGGAAACTAAAACCTCCTTTGACATCCTACAACTCCCTTCTACAACAAAACCCCATGATGTAGATCAATTGGGATGGCAAAATCTTGGACAATCCACGTCGCAATCTTGCTAGGGGCCGTCTGGCTTGAAGCTAAAGCTAAAGGCTACGGCTAAATCTCTCTGGCTAAAGCAAGGCTAGCGCTAAGGTTCTATCCCTTGGGGGTCGGCGGCTGCAGGCGGTAGCCTGGTAAATCCGGGCGCCGGCCACGAAGCCCGTGCCCTGCCCGGAGGGCCTTCGGTGGTAACCGAAGGTTATATACGGGCGCGCCCCCTGCCGCCGACCCTCGTCATGAAAACGGGGGGACCACCGGTTCACTGATGCCCCTGTAATTTACAGTGTATCGTGTGTGTGAGGTATAAAAAACACTGTGTTTTACAGGGTTTTGGGCCCCTCGGCAGCCGAGAATTTCAGCTTGGCGATGTCAAAAAACGTAGGTTTTTACAGGGTTTTTGCTTTGCGGGAAGGAAAAATCGTAAAAAGTTGTATCGGAAGATTTTTTCCACATAAATTGCCTCACATATCCCCAAAATAGGCCCAAGATAGCAAACATATCCCCAACATATGCCCAACATAGCGGGCCAACATAGGCCAACATGGGGCCAACATAGGCCCAACATAGGCTCGACATGGGTCCAGGATGTGCCCAACATAGACCACATGGGCCCAACTTGGCCCAACCTAAGGCGAAGATGCGCACCAGATAGCTTCGCTTTGCAGGCCAACCGACAGAGCCAGAGACAGAGAAGACCTCGACCTTACCCTAGTTCGCCGGCGCCCGGCTGTCAGGCGTAAGCCTTTAAATATCAAACACCAAGCTAATTGAGCATGTCCTTCTGGTGTTTTCTCTACCAGAAGCCGATCCGTCCCAGCTGCCCAACAAGCGCAAGCAAGGAAGAAACGAAAAAGTCTTGAATTACACCACCGTAGACCCCAAACAGTTTGTGTTTTCAAAATCGAAACTAGAGCTTGCGACGTCCAGAGCTGGGAAACAAAGGATTGCAAGGCAGAGACGGACACAGCAGTACAGAGCGGGCGGACACATCTTCAGAAAGAGTTGAAAAGCCCTAACAGTAAACCGGTTGGGGAATTATTTTTCAAGTGCGAACATGATGCTGGTCATGCTGCTCAATCAGCGGGGAGCTGACCACGTAAAAGCATGAGGAGCGAAGGATGTGACATGAAATTGAATGTTGGTGCCCGACGTATGTCCTCCGTCCCAACTGAACAGAGAGATCGCTGCCACGCCACCGAAATCCAATCCGGTCATTCATCCACAAGCCAGCCCGAAACAAATGGAACCCGACCACAAGCACCGAGCCTTGGAGACAAATGAAAGGAAGTGGGGCCGGGAACCCGACCACAAGCACCCGGCCTGGGAGACAATGAAAAGAAGTGGGAGACAAGCCGGCCGGGAACCGGACCACAAGCACCCAGCCTGGGAGACCCAGCCTGGGAGACAAATGAAAAGAACTGGGAGACAAATGAAAGGAAGTGGGAGACAAGCCGGCCGGAAACCAGACCACAAGCGCCGAGCCTGGGAGACAAATGAAAGGAAGCGGGAGACAAGCCAGCCGGGAACCCGACCACAAGCAATCAGCCTGCGAGACAATGAAAAGAAGTGGGAGACAAGCCAGCTCGGAACGCAACCACAAACACCCAGCCTGGGAGAATAGAAATGCTACATGGCCATCGGCAAAGGGCGGACACCACCAGTGACAGACCTGGGAGACAAATGAACAGAAATGTTGCATCGCCAGCGGAAAAGGGCGCACACCAGTTACAGACCTGGAAGACACATGAATAGAAACGCTCATGGCCAGCGGAAAAGGGCGGCACCGACAGACCTGGGAGACAAATGAATAGAAATGTTGCATATCCAGCGGAAAAGTTACAGACCTGGGACAAATGAATAGAAATGCTACATGGCCAGCGGAAACGGGCGGACACCAGCAGTGACACAAAGGGCGGACACATCTTAAGAAAGAATTGAGAACCCCTAACAGTAAACTGGTTGGTGAAAAATGAAAAGAACTGGGAGACAAATGAAAAGAAGTGGGAGACAAATGAAAGGAAGTGGGAGACAAGCCAGCCGGGAACCCGACCACAAGCACCCAGCCTGGG